CAATACACGGAGAACTGCTGAGGCGGAAGAGCTTCCGGAACAGTCATTTATCGCCTCGTTGTAGGATGGCCGGAGTTCTAGTATAAATGTTGCTCAGGCGGAAGACGAGTGCTCGGTCCTTAGCCAGGTGCGAGGGCGACGGAATGCTTATGCCGACGACGAGGATTTCGCTTGAATCGAGAGCAGGCACTCTATCCGATGTCGCTCCTCGTGCCGCCGCAGCTATGTGTCACATCGTAGTCTGAGAAACTCTGGAGGAATTCTGCGTCTGGTGGGAATGGAGCGGCTTGCGCCGCCGACTGGACTCACACTCTTGCCACATGGTGCTTGCGAAAGAAGTTAATGAGATCGCTAAGTAGCTTCGCGGCTCACCGCGTGCTCCGGTCCCAAGAACGGTATCCCCGCTGCTCCGGCTTCCCTCACCGTTCCCGGCACCGTCAGGTTCCGTCTTCCCAGCCATCCAGAGGCCATTCTTTGTGAGAGAACACGCTCGGGGTGCGAACGGCCATCATCTGACTCCAGTCCTCAACAAACCGAAATGGAGCTCTCTCTCCCGTTTTCCCTGTTTGGTTCCTGGGCTCCTAGCCGACGTCGATAATGTTTACGACGGACCCGTCTGGCTCTCGCAGGCGCTTCTACGCTGTCATGTTGCTGTTGACGCCGCCGCCGATGCCGCCGTCGACATCGCCATGTTGTCGTCTACTCACTTCTACAAGTAATACACTTTCATTCGTTTCTCTGTTTACATCAGTTTTAGAGACTTCACTTCTGACGGTGCGGACCAGCTCCCCGGCTCCCCTCGGTCCCAACGTCCCTTGGTTCTCTCTCGTCGTTCGTACACATTCCTTATATCCCTCGGGATACTTCCCTCTGTCTGACTTTTCCCACTCTCTGGACCTCCTCCCTGATTTTCTTGATGGTCGACGCCGTCTATGTTGTCGTAGGCTGGTTTCGTGCGAAACGTATAAACGTCAGGTCGACAGCCGTTGAGGCCATCGCATCGCTAGACGTGCTCTCGCTCGTCAGCGGTTCCCCATCGACGTCCCTCCCTGCCGCAGTCTACGATTTCTGCTAGTTCGTCTCGACCGCTGCAGGAAGACCATCTACCCACATGACCAGCCGCCCACCCATCCACCGACCAACCTACGAACGGTGAGAGAGCCGAGTCCGTAGCGACCACGGCGACTGACGTCGCCCACCTCTTCCTGGCGGGACGATTCCCGTTAGCGTCAGGTTTCTTTCGCGAACGAATCAACGGACCGAGGGGCAGAGGTCAACAAAGATTCGAGGCAGCGGTGAATAGCGTGTGGAAAACCACGCATTTACGCGGAGCTCCCAGTGGCGTGTGAGCGAGCAGACCAGCGAGAGAGAGTGAGAGAGAGAAACAGCGAGAGTGAATCAGAGCGAAAACAAACGCCGCCGGCTTCGGTTGGCCGTGCTCGTTGATTTGCATGACATTCGTCGCATGTACTCGGCTCCCGTGGAGCGGGAGGAGCGCTCCCAACTCCCCAGAGTCGGCTTGCTCTATTTTGTTTCGGTGCGTTCTGGATCCGTGCGAACCACAACGTCGGAACCCCGCCCCGCATTCGCTCGTGGCGATTTTCCGTGCGGGAACGCTCCGAGTGTCGTCGGGTCGATAGAGTGATTCGGTAGCATTGAGCAGCAATGCTCACTCCACTGTCTCGTCTTTCAGAAGAGATATCCTCATCGAATAGGAAAGCAGTAATATAGCTTTGCCGCCCGTCGAATGTCAGGGATGTCGAGCTCAGTCGAGATAATGTCTCGTTGTATCGGTTTTCGCGCTTTCCGTTCTGTCGCCTAATAAATACTACTGACAGCAATATAGTTAGTCGCACGACGTTCTGACGTCTCGGATTTCGGTAGCTCGAAAGGGACTCAAAACAAGAGATCCTCCGAGAGGAATCAATTGATTCCCCACGAGGAGACTGCGATGACGCTTTCCCCTTCATTTATTAGCAGAGAGTTTCCATTGAGGCCGCGAGCCGACTTGACAGAACACACGGCCGAGTTGCGAGACGGATTCCGTTGCCCAGTCTGCTGTGGCGACTCTTCAATTACAGCCGCGTGCCGTGCGGCAGAGCAGAAACGGGTCTAGGAAGCCGTCGGATAATTCGAGAGAAGTAGAAAGAAGCAGTGTGTGTGTGTGTATCGCATCCATTAATAACTCCACACTCGACTGTTGCAGACAGCCGTAGAGCCGGTGTGGGGGCGACGCCGCCGGAGCCGATTCTGGAAATTTCGACTTCTTCGCTGAACGCTCTGGCTGTTCTCACAAATGGTCCCTACTCGAGGTAAGAGCGCTTTTAACTTTTGCAAGCGAGTCCGCCATTAGCCCGCGTTCGTTATCGGAACATCCATACGAAACGGAACGTACTTTTATCTCAAACACTCGGTCGTGCTTAGCTGACGTCCCGAATAATGTACCACGATCACCCCCAACGGAGTCTGCGAAACGATCAAATTTCCGTTGATGGAGACCTCGATTTCTCTCTGAGTTCAGAAATGTATCATAGTTACCTGGTTCTAAAATTCTACGCCTCTGCAGACCATTGCTCACAATCCTCACCGTAGGCTGCTCCCTGCTCGTTGTTAATCTACTCGTGTTTGTGGGGACATTCTGTCAGCATCGCGAAAGATCGAAGCCGAAACAGCAAGCCAAGGAGACGACGGACGCGGCAGCCGCATCGAAAGTCGTGAGTTGAAATATCGACCGCAGAGTCCGAAGGCGTACAGGCTACGCCGTCATCCCCATGCTGTAGACAAGTGTTCCGTTTTCGTCGCGTCAGACCACCTCTCTGGAATGTCTCGCTTCCCCGGTGCGCTCGTTACCTCGATGGTTGGCTGCTTCCGACGTCCATCATATTCGAAAACGCCTGCTGTATCTGCCAGCTGATCCTGTCGGAGTTTATTTTCGTTTTTGCGCTCCGCTAATTTCGTCTTCGTGCGGTGGAGAAACTCCTTCTCGGAGGCCGCTCACATGCTACTCAACGCGGTCCAGCGCCGACGCCGTCGACGCCGTCGCTTTCTAATGCAATGGCTCCCTTTTCCGCGAAACGCAGAGTCACGTTCGCTCGAGCGCGACGGGATCACCCGGAGTCAGCGGGCATAGCCTTGAGTTTCGAGTCGCGAATTCGACACGGACAGAGACCACTATTGTTTCTCGCAGAACTGACTGAGTGTTTTTCTAAAGACTTAATTCGTTCTTTCCTTCCGGCTCCGGCCACAAATCCGATGATCGGGTGACCGTGGGATTCGCTGACTGTCCAGAAGACGGCACTCGTTCTCCCATCTTCGTTTCCGAATCTTCAGGCGATCGATGCGAAAAGATGGGAAACCGAGGACGTCGTGTCGTTTACGCCGGAGAACTGAGGACGTGGAAAGTGAGCTTCCCGAGTGCGAAGTCCGCGGAAGAGTTCAAAGTTTCTACGACTCTGCGGGTCATTTGACGAGGAATCTCCTAAATGCGGATCCGAATCCTCCGTTTCCACTGTGGCTAATAAACCGAATAAGAAGATCACGATACCGATGAGGAAGAGGGAACATTATTGGGCCGCCAGTATGTAGGGAGCCCGGGACAGAAAAACGAGGAAGAAAAATGTGGAGTCGCTGCCAGTGGCGGCCTCGAGGTCTTCTGTCATGATTCCGCGCGGCAAGTCCCTAGTGCCGACGCCTTCCTCGGCTCTTCCTCTCGTGGTTCTTCTGTCTCGTTCTTCCCCTCTCCCCGGGCTCCTTGTACCAGCAGACGTGTTGGCAGTGCCCGTGAGCGTCGACTGGTTCGTCGGGGTTAGCTAGTGATAATGAGCCCCCCGTAGAGTGAGAGCGTCCGCAACGACAACGGCGGGCGAGGACGGTGCTCGGGAAACAACAGTCGAAGGAAAAACAAGCATCCGAGCAACCAGTGAGAAATCAGAGAACTTGGAGCACGCACGCAGTCTCGGGATGGGCGGGTGTTCCGAAGGGGAGCGACGGGGTTTTGATGCGAGAGGCCGAGAAGCCAGCGGTGCAAGGAAGGAATTTTTCTCCGGTGGCTTCTGCTGCTTCTATGTAGGAAACTTCAAAATTGCCTCGAGCACGAACGTTCTGAAGCGCGTCTCTGTGATCTTCGCGTGCAACGAGATGATGCGTCCACTAGAACTCTTCCGAAGCCAATGCTGTCATCAAGTCAACAAGGAATGCTCTCTGCTTTCGAATGCTGGAGAGTTTTGGTCTTCGTTCGAGTTGCGTGAAGTCGATAGGGCAGCCTCAAAGGGCAATCATATCATGCCGTGATCCCGCGGGGAACAATCAGAACAAAAAGGGAAGAGAGCTGTCTTTCGTAGTCGATCTTGATCGCGCCCGGTTCAACGACGAGCATCCCTTAATATTCAACGCTCAGCAATGGAGCCCTGATCTGGGCCTGGGTTTAGAGCCCAAGTCCGGCGATTCGAAGGGAACCCCTCTCCCGGACCTAAGCGAAGAATTCCTCGTGATCGAGAATCTTCCACGTGGTATATTTCTCAGAGATTGCTGCGAAACTTCGACAGGACATGAGTCGCGTATGAGGCGGAACTGACAGGCAGACTCTGCGTCTTTGACTCGGATCATAGAATTCGCATCGCGGCCGTTCTGGGAGGGAGAAGCTGCGCTGGTCGATTATGAGCGAAAACAGATCTCATTTCTTCCCGGCTGCATACGCAGGCGGATCAAACAACTCACGGCCGCAAGCTGGTGTTTATCTCTGCTGTGCTTCTTGTTTAGTACTCGGCGGCAGTCTCTCTCTCTCGAGTAATTCCGAACACTGAATATTTGCTCTGCGTAATTTCAGTCCATCAAGGAAGAAGACTCGTGCTTACAGAAAACCATCCTGCAGAAAGACGCTGCCATGTTATTCCTCCAGGAGACCGCGGGACACAATTTGAACCAGGTGAGACTGGAGCCGCTGCGAAACAATGACGCTGAGGGGCAATAAGATGCTAATTTGTCGAACAGCAAAAGGTCGGCTCGCTCGAGTAGACCAACACGGACACGTCGATACGTATTGCACGAGGACCCCTCTATTCGATCGTGCACAACGAAAGTGGCTGGGAGGTTCTCATCCACGACTGTCGTCCCTTTCGGAGCTGATTCTTGCTGATGAGAGCTCCTCTGAAGGGAGAAATATCCGATATCGCCTCTAGGAACGTCCCACGGGCGATTCAGAGGTGTCAGAATTCAAGGGGACAATCCTTCAAGGGGAAATTTATTCACTTCAGCAACATCAGACCCCCACGGACCTTTTTGAGGCAACACTATCCTCGGATGCGAATCTCGGCAACGCTTTGGAGACGTGTTATATGTATCAGCTGCCTTCGAGTTTTGTCGCTTCCACTATGCAACGAGTGAGTATGAGCTCTTTTTGACGTGAAAACGTCTTTAAGTTCATCGCGCATACAGACCAAGGGTACTTCGTCCTCAGCGTCACGAAAGTGATCCGCTTTTGACGCTTCATAACTTTGTTCCCCGAACACCTAGATCTTCGCGGTGTGTGCCATAGTATCGAAAATTTACGGCACGAGCTTCCACGCGATTTTGGAGCCGATTGGAGTCCTCAGAGCTCCCGTTCAGCGTGATTCGTGCAACCCTCTGAGATACCTCGATTCTTGCATAAATAATCGCTTTTCTCAGTGCTCAGACGCTGGATTGATCGGAATTGCTTGCCCGGCAAAGGCGACGATGTGTGCCGTCACCGACGCTACTTATATCATTTTGAGGAGCCGTCGCGAAAGAGATTTTCAGGAGAATTCAGGCGATCATCAGAACTCATCAGATCTTATGCGGGCTTCGTTATCCAGCGATATCCCTTTTGATTTGATCATCGCGGTGTCTGCGTTCGCATACTGATCTACTTTGATTAAGCGACCGTCCAGATGAGGCCGAAAAATGCTAGTAGGAGGCGTCTCAAGCGAAAAGCCCAAAGTTTGGCTTGTGGGCCAGCCAAGAAGTCAAAGAGCGCAGCTGAGCGATCTGCTCTGTATCGGAAGCGACATCGGGAGTTCGGGAGGCTTCATTGCTACATTCTCAAGCTACGAACCATGCTCGCAATGGGGAGAATGGGAGTCTCGGATCTGTTGAGGACATAAGCCACGGCGCTTCACATGAAATGGAGCCGGAGATAGTGCGATGTTCCAGGTATGAGCAGGTATGGGGGCGCGCGACAAAACACTTCCGACACATTTAATCGAAATCTCTATCTCAAGCTGAGTAAACTCGTTCCGATCGCGGGAAACGATCTCCCGAAGACTCAGGCGCAAACCACAGTTCTTATTGAACTGCTATCAAAGCCCGTGAACACGACGGTCGATATCCTCGTAGTGGTATTCGACGTGAGGCTACCACAAACTTTCAACAGTCGAGATGGTATCAACCGCGAAAAACAAACGGTTACTGTACTCGACGACAGTATGAAAATGGTGAATCTTGGCCTCTGGTCGGAGTTTGTCGGCAAATTAGATGGAAAACAAGGTGATGCAGTCATTCTACAGAACCTCCAAGTGCGAGATTACAACGGCACAAGACAACTGTCAACAACCACAAACACAATCATCCGTGAAGCGGCAGGCGATGCCGAAGCAGAAAGGCTTCAAAAATCACAGAATCCGCATAAATCACATTAGATCACCGCGAGTTTATTTCTTCATAAGCAACACAATTATTCCGCAGATTTCCAAGAGTTTGTTGCGTAACCGGGACGTTTTCACGCCCCACCAACGGTAGTGCTTGAGCACTACCTCTTCAGGACTTTTTCCGATGCTTCGGTGTCAAATCGAATGCTCGCGCCCCGTTGGTTCGCAATTCACTCGACGGGCTTCCCTGCTCGCTACCGAGTAGTCGCTTCGCAAACGCGGGTGCCAGAATCATGTCTCATCCGAGTCAACTATCGGCCGCGGACGCAAACTCTCGGAAAACGGCGTCGGTACAAACTTGGGGAATACGTAGAAAATCAAGTGCACGCCCGAAACCTTCCGACGAAGGGACGTCGGCAGCCGTTATCGGCAATCTGCTAAATGTACATCTAATCGAACGGCCGGCTTCTCCACTCTCCGTTAGAGAACCCCGCGCGGCTCACTTAGTCAGAGCTGGATGGACGCTCATAACATATTGAGTACATTTGTCATCCGCTTACTTCTCATCGAGAACAAAAGGTCATTTGTACGAACGAACAAGCATCTGCTGACGATTCCAATTCGTCCCCACGCTCTTCGTCTCTATCGCTCTTTCTCTCCGTCGAATGCCCCGGGGCTATTATTTCATCTCCATTCGATCGGATCGGTTCCGCGGAAATGAGCGAATTTTCGGTCTTCCGACTGACATTTCGGACTCCAAACTTCGACGGCTGATCCGATCGATGCCACGTACATTCTGTGGATGGATTTCCGTCGTCAGTTCTCGTCAGATTCGATATCGATCGTCGGAGAGTCGTTCGGGAAAAATACCCGCCTTGGGAGACTGCTCCCGAGCCAAACGCTGTGGGAAGAGAGATTTGACTCCCATGGAGTTTTTAACGCGGGAGAACACTTTCTCGCAAACCTTAAAAGCCACGCCGGTCCCCGATCAAGGAAAAAAATGGAGAGCTATTTCACTTCTCGAAACACGGCATAGTTTCGAGAGAAGAAGAATGCCTCGTCATCAGTACGTGAGCAGAAGCGCCGTAGGCGTTTGGCCTTGGTTGTCACAGTATATGTTTTTCTCTGGTCAGAGTCGGCCACGTATTCCTGAAGGAGAGCTGCAAGGAACACTGACTCCACTGCCGAACGTGGTCCCGACAGGCGTCTCGATAGGCGGCGGTCTTGGCAACGGAAACTCCCAACAGCAACCCGATATCGCGGTGTCTTCATCATCGGCAACGTCCACGTCGGGAATGACCATCACCTCCGTCACGATGGCGAGGTTCGTATGCTCGACAAAAGGCCACGAAAAGTGGCGAAACTTGAATAGGATAAAAAGCGCGAAAGATACACCACATGCAGTGCGGGAATGGAACATCCGAGCGACGCATTGACGGCTGTCCTTTCAATGAGGTGTCTTGAATGAACGCGATTTTTTTGTGTGCGATGCTCCTTCCGCTTTATTGTGCTCGTCACCTCGAACTTAAAGTCACGGAAACCCCGGGGCCCTCGACTCCATTAAGAGTTCGTATCAGCTGAAATCTGGCCGACCGGCTGGCTCGCTCGCAGGCGAGATTGCTTTGATCTCGTCGACAAGCGGGGAAAGGTCCCAGGCGCTGACCTCACGCTCGGGGGCTTACGTGCCAGAGGGAGCGTTTCAAATGTCACACAGCCTGTAATTAGCGCCGCCTCGCAAAGAAAGCGGTGACGAAACTTTGACTTCTATGACGGAATCCCTTCCGGGCACAGGGGGTTTCGCGTCTGTGTTGAGGCATCGAAATCTCAGACAAGAATCCTGAATCCTGATCATGCTAAGGCACCCTGGTCGTCAACGCTCAGGTTTCAATCAAGTAGGCGATCCATCGGCGGCAACACTGTCCTCTCCCTTTTGCTGCCTCTGTTCCTTCTCTCTCTCTCTGTTCTCCTCGATGATGATGGGAGCTCCAGTGAAAGGTCGCATCCTTCGTATCGTCCCTAGAATAAACTCGACAGGAAAGAGGAAACGTGGGCAGAGACAAGGTAGCACATACAAACGAAACAAGCAGCTCGATTTACGCGGATTTGAGGCGGACAAACCATGGGGCAAGAAGCAGAATACTGGAAGAAGTGGCAGGGATTATTTATCGTCGATTCAAACCACATTCGAACCCGAGCATTATTTTCCAGAGAGACACTGACTCAACCGTTCGAGACCTTGCCCCAGCCGTCGACTGCGGCACTGAGAGAAAAGTAAGTCTCTCGAGGTGCTATTCCTAAAGAAATCCTCCGACCAATTTCCCCCTACCCCGTATTGCTTGTTGCTCCCTCAACATCGAGCTTGATATCCTCGCTGAAGATGACGCCCCTCCTCAATTCCCTGTCCGCCCCAGGAGCGAATGCTTCTCCTCGATGCTAAGTAACGATTCTTTTTTCGTAGCACCAGTGGGAACGTTGGCGGTCGGTCCTTCAAAGGGGGCGAGGAAACCACAGTATGAGACACTTCTGGGATGCTGATCAAAAGCACGACGAGGATCGCTGCCCACAAGCCGCCTAATTAAGGAAGAAGGACAGCAGCCCGGCCTCGATCATCTCGATTTCTGGAGAGGAGACGGATTCCCACCAAGTGTACATAGTTCTGTAAAAGTTAAGATAAAATCGATAACGAATCCAAACAAGCCCCGACACAGCGCCGGCTCCGAGGTCGTTGGGGAGGCTCCACAGGTCACTCAACGACCTTCAAGAGATCACTGTATTTAATAAAAATGACTTTATAATTATCTCCATGCCGGAATGTTTCCCTTGTACGTAGACCTCTTATCGACAACTTGCACTTAACACGCCGCGGAACAGCGGAGGAAACCATTACGAATTTATATCGTGCGTCTGCTTGATTAATAGCTTTTTCCACCGATGAGTTCTCCTCCCTCCTCCCCCCCCCCGATGAGTTATGGGATGGAATAAGACCGCTCTTCCCGGTGGGGATACTTTGTTTCAACGTCGATCGGTAAATCCCGGTGTTGCTCCTGGCACGAGACGGAAGTGCGTGGAGGCGTGGAAGCTCGGGTAGACCGAAGCCGTGAGAGAGATCGTCAGCGTTCTCGGCGGCAATGGTGGGACTCACTCCGCTCATTGGCCTTACTCTTAATTGGAGACTCTTTGATTTCCTCAGAGTACGGTCGACGTCAGCAGCTTAGCGGAAGTTTTGAGCGACGCTGTCCATGCCCACGGAGCTGCTGACGTCAATAACGAGAGCCATCTTCTTCTCCTTCCTTCCGTCTATACGCATCCATGCAGCCTCGCATCTCCATCGGGCCTGTCCTCGGCGGGCCTAACCTATCTATCGTTATTCCGCTGTCGCCTCATTCAACGTCATCTCTTGCGTCAGTTCCGTCTCTTTTAGTAGTCTCTTCGGGCCAGTTGGTCGTTCGGGGCGTCACTGAAACAGGAAGCATCCAATGAAAGAGGAGAAGCAACAACCGATTGAATCAGAGACGCCAACGTTGCAGCCGCCGTCGCCGGAGACGAAAAGGGAAAGTTGGCTCTGTGTGAAGCTCCGTGAAGGGGCTCGGGCGCGGAAGGTTTGCGTGGTCAGCACCTCTCCCTTCGAGTCCGGAACACCCGACGCCGAGGCAATGTCGGCACAGCGGAGAGACGGATTGCCGTGGCGGCTGACTGCTCGACTGCCAGTTAGATGGCCCCTCGGTCGTACGTTCGCTCGACCGGTCCGTCCGTCCGTTGGTCGGTCGGCTGACTCCGGCTCGCCGTAAAAGAAGTCGTCGTCGTCGTCGCCGCCGCTGCTGCTGTCGTCGTCCTTCTTGCCTAACGGATCAATTCTGTTGCATTCTCCGGCTGCAAGCTCCTCCAGGCCCCTGCGATAGGCGAGGAGGCGATGGAAAAGAGTATCCATAAAAATGCTTAATAGCAGGGCGAGAGCATATCATATGATTTCTGGAGATTAGGCACAGGTAAATTCTACCATTTCCCCAGCTCAAGCAGGGGCCGAAGTCGCATATGGTGGGTCGACAATAGGCGTGAAGTCATGGGCGTGACGGAGGTCGAATCTCGTGGCCTGCGCTCGGGCTTCCAGGAAGTTAATTCTCATGAGGGTCCGATCACCCCAATAGTCGAGCGGTTCCGACAGCATCAAGATCTACTCCCAGACTGAGGTAATCGATGGGGAACTCGCCCTTCCCGTCGCTCTTCGATTCTGCACTTGTGCGAATTAATTCCCGAACTGCGCAAGACGATCGCGAGAGATGCGACGAAGCTGTCTCGGTGAAAAATCGAGGTCGGCTGATCGAATTATATGAACCCAGCGGGAGCTCAACCCAATGACCGAGTTCCATACAACGAGACCTTATTGTGATTCGCGCGGGATCCTAATTTTATCATCGGGGTCCACTGATCCCATGAGGAAATCCCGAAATCTCTTGATGAAGGAGACCCAGCATCCAGAATTGAAAACACTTGTGGAAACCCAGGACCATCGGATCCGAAACATTTGCACGCAGTCTTTCCCCCCGTCTCCCTAATCCCGTCTGTATTACTTATCTGCGGCAGAGAATCGGCGGGGAAATAAGCCGTGAGCAGCTGGGCTTCAGGCCTCGCAGGATACGAATTCGCCAAGGAATTCATCACGGGACCAGATCGGTGGCTACGGGCTATTCTGTCGATGATGGCGACCACGAAGGTCCACACAGAGAGAGTCAAACGACTCGAGAAATCGCGATGCAGATACCATAGCGGAGCGATCCCTCTGATGTACGACTCAGACGGACGTACATCTCCGATCACTTACCACAAGTAAGTGAGGAAGCACGTCCGGGAAACGAAAGACCAGGCATGGAGAGAACGAATGAGCCAGAAACCAAGTTTGGGGATGTACTTTAACTATGAGGCAGCTCGGAGAGAAACAAGTCTCGGCATGCTCGACAACGGGAGATATAGCACCTAACTTGCATCAGCAAGAGCGGGGATGTTATCCGCCCGCAGATATCGCTGTAAGTTTTAAAATATAGAGACACAACAAT